ATGGAGTGCGCCAGAATTGGCACGAGTGCCGCATTGAGGGTAAATTTCCCGCTACCGGTGCCCTCACGGATGAGCTGACAGTGATTTTGGTGACAGTGACTGAGCCGACGGAAGTGGAGCTGTGTTTGTATCAGTCCGGCCACCGGTCTTCGGCGCACGACAGCCACAGTCATCACAAACTGGATCTGTTTGTGGCTGTGTTTGGGTTCAACGGTCTGGTCGGGCGACTGGTCTGCGAGAGTAAGCGTCAGGTGAAGAGTTTTGTCTCGTGTCATGAGATACTGGAGCCCGGCGTGTATGCCGTGGTTACCATGGCTTTCAACCACTGGCACAACGGTTAGTAAAATAAATAACATTATGGTGATCATAAAGAGGTTATTATGTTTTTAATTGTTATTACCATGTTTGTTATAATTAGGTGTTAGGGATTGTCCGCCGTATTTGTTGGCCATTCATAGCTCGAAGGTTATGCTGACGGAGAGGGTGTCTCCGCCCCGGTATATAATCGCCGACTGTCTTATAGGGCTGGCGCTGGCCAGGGGTCGCAAGCATGAGGTAAACATCTAGTTAAACATAATTTATATTATGGTATTTTGTTTTTACAAACTTTTAACTATAATAAAAATTTTAATTACTTTATAACAGTGCAGTGAAGGCATAACCGCCTACTATCTGACCAAACACTGGTCAGGATTGGTGGTGATGGTGGAGAACCGACACCCGACCACATATGCACAGGTCATATGCAACTGTATGGACAGTGTGAACGTCGTGTCCACCAGATCTACGCTGAAAACAGCGGACAGTATACCACCCCTTCATAGGTTAGTCCTAATTACTGTATTAATTATGTATAATTAATTATTTATTAGGATTATAATTGTGTTTAATTATAATTATGTATTAATTTAGACAAATAGTGATTGTGTTGACCCACTTGGAGGGCACCGGAGGTATGATAATACACTATCAGCTGACAAATCGGGGCACTCATCACAAGGGGCTAAACGATTGGGGCAATAATGGAGGGGTCGGTGGGCTGGAGGGCAGTCGAGACAGTGAACACATACCAGTGCTCGACAACAGTGTCCGTGAATTGCATTCTCCGCGTCCGCTATAATTAGTTGTAATTAATTTATAATTGTTTTTAAAATAAATTATGTGATTATTCTTTCATTTATATAAATTTTATTAAATATGTGATAACATCTAGTAGATTTTTTTAAACTAATAAACATCGTAGATTTGCTCTACATTTATTATTATTATTGTTAGCAAATATTTTTTGGATTATCTAAGAATTTATTTTAGTTTTTTTTATCAATTTTCAATACGATTACATTGACGTCAATATAACATATAGGGTGACCACCAAAAATCCTCTTAAAAAAGGACGACTGGTATAAAATAGTCATTAAAAAAGGACAAAAAAAGGACGCAAAATTTTTTTAACCCTATGCATTTTTCTTTGTTTTGTCACACATTTTAAATGAATATTTAAATGAAAACACTTTTAATAAACAAAATTATTTGATTTTTATAATAGTTTTCTGTTAA